TTGATCATTTATTTAAACTACACAACAGAAGTTTTGTTTGAAAAAACTTGCTAAGATCTCCTTCCTACTGTTACTTCAATTATTTAGCTACTTATTGTGAAAAGTATTAGCATAGTCATAAGGTATCAATTGTTTTGGTCAAAAGACAAATGCCACTATTGTCATCAACGTGCACAAATAAATAATCAAAGCCCAAAATAATATAATAAGAACAAGGCATACAGTATCTCAAACCTCAACTTCAACTAGTTGAGACTCCAATTCTTCAAACACACTTAAGAAAGATATTGTTTAGACGAAATTTTGCAAAACATTATATCAAATAGGTATTTTTGTGCATGATTGCTTTAGGAGCTTAATTTTTTATTATTATTATAGAATGTATAGAAGAATAATTTGATAAGGTTTATAATAATAGAATTATCTATTTATATGATCTTGATGATTCTAGTTAGGAAAGTCTTAATATTGAAAAAAGCCAAATTAAAGGTAAAACCATCATTTTACATCAGAAGCTGAATCCAAATAAGTTATATATAATATGCTTTATAGTGTTTATTTAATAATTTATAACTATTTTATCTGCACATTTTGTTTACCTTCATTCAAGTGTTGGCACATGTGAACCCATGAAGAGAGAGAAGATGACCACTAGGCATGGCTCAAAATGACAAAAATGGAAATAATTTTTGAGGTATGCGATCTCCTCAAGAGACTAATTTCATACCATTAAATGGCCATTGGAAAATCACAAAAAGACAGAAAAAGTCAATGAATATATAACATTCTTCTCAACTTAAATAACAAGAAACAATCAAGAAATAAAAATTATGGGAAATGTTTAGGAAAAATGGGATTCTCACATATAAAATCAAATAGATTCTCACAAAGAAGATGACCACAAGTACAACCTAAACAAAGAGATTCTCACATATAAAATCAGAGGAATGAAGTCTCCAAAAGACAGTCATACACATCTAAAATGGTAACTCATTTAATTAAAGCCAATCTAGAACCTTATTTTAGAGGAGATTAGCTAGTGCTAATTATATTGGCCCCTTTGAGTTGTTAATGTTGAAGAGAGGAGTGATCTTCTCTAATTTAGTCCCTTGGAGTTGTTAATCTAGAAAAGTGGACTGGGTTCCCTTTAGTTTGATCTCCTAAAGTAGTAAATCTTGAAGAAAATTTTGGAGAGGAATCTTGAGTTCACAGAAATTGTTAAATTGGTTGAAGTTAGCTGAAGCCAATAAGGGAATCCCCTTAACAAATGTGCAAAGTATCATCTGAAAATGCGGAATATCATCTTATTTTGACACTCTAAGCCTTAGCAAAAATCAGACGAATTGGTGAAGTCTATATACCAAGGTTAATAAGACTTCGCCATCAAGTACACTGATCAGCTTTCTTTTAAGCACAAGTAGATTCTATAACTTAGTGAACTTAAAGGGAGACTCCTTAAGTATGAAGAACTACCCAACCCTTTACGAACGAAGAAGTTATACCGAATGAAGAAGAGTAATTACATAGAAAACTAGTGGAATATAAGGGCATAGTATTTACATAGAAAAGTAGGTCAAGTAGACTAAACCATTGAAAAGAGTGCATATTGAAATTAGAATAGGCTTCTAAAGGAAAATTAGTTGGTAAATTGAGTGAGGTCAAATTCCCTTCTCCTTTTTGATGTTGCGTGTTGTAATACATAAATAACTAGTGAGTATTCTACTCCTTTCTACTTTCTCATACATTGACACATGGTTCTAATCATATACTTTCAACGTTCATATTGTCTTAATACTCATCAAATCAGAACTATGTTACCTTCCACTCACAATGACATCATTAGTAATTCTATTATATCATTACATACTGTAACATTGTTCCAATTTTTTTTATGAAGCAGATATCTTTTACTTTGTAGAATCCATTAGAATATCAAAGTTGGTAAGAAAGTGGCAGAGAGGCTCCTTCAAATGTAACCTTGGAATTCTTGTTACTACTTTTTTCCTCTCAAACATATACACATCCATTGGAATGTGAGATGTAGTTGGAAAGGTGAGGACGTTGATATTTTTTTCTTGATGACAACTTAATTATTTAGGAGGCCTAATTTGAGAGCAGAATGAGAACTAAGGATAGAGTTGGTCATCTATTTCAATTGTATATTTCACATTCCTCTTGAAACTAACAAGAATTTGTTTGCATCTCGACAACATCATCACATAATTTCAGCATTGCCCTTCACGTCTTGCTCATATATTTTAGATGAAAAAAATAGTTTGAAGTTCAGTCAAATTGAAAAGAAGTTATGTGGTGCTAGTTCTATGTTATGTTGACAGCCACTACCCCTTATCCACGTTAACACATCAAAATCTTTAGAAACCTTGGATACTATTTATTGTGATATGTAAGGACCCTTTTAAAACCTTTTTATGTAGTAGGTGAAATATTTTTTTTATCTTTTATTGATGATCCTTATTTTTATACTTGGGTTCATTTCAATGAGTCCTCCCTCTAGACATGTATAAATATATACAGATTTTCTACTGTCTATATATCTTTCAAAACTAATAATATTTTTTTTAGCTGATTTCTTAGGTGAACAATGTGTAGTGCCCTTTGTAATCCACATTAAAACCTAAATAAAATTGTATCGATTTGACCATCTACACATGGTTGAAAGTACTACATAGTGATTAATTTCTTATAGTTTTTGGGGTAAACCTACATTTATTTTTTAAAATTTTTAATTATGTTCCCTCATCTATCACTAGTTGTGCTTCAGCACTTTAGTACCATTATAACATGCTTCTTGATTATTCTATGTTTCATGCATATGGCTCTACCTGTTTGGCTCAATTATTATATGGAACCATGAGAAATTAGAGAATTTGTCTTCTTGGATGTATTTTTCAGTCGGGTTATAGATGATAGGATACAAATGAAATATTTTGTTCTATTATTCTGGGAAAAGTTACATATTTTCTTATGCTCTACTCTTCTATTATCATCTCTCTTATATTCCTTTCTTGACACCCCTTTTGATTCAAATGTCACAAAATTTACATGTAATTCTAATACAACTGAAGAGAAACATAAACATCTCACTTACCAGCCTTCTTTCAATGGTGCTCCCTGTTTTTCTATGGTTCCATAAAGGAATAATGAATATGAATCTCATGTAGTAATAGAAAAGTAATTATTATTCTTTATCTTGTATTTATCAGTTTTCCAGTACGCTCATATGAGGAAGTTTGCATTAATCCTCTTGGGCAGAAAGTAATGGCAGAAGACCTTTAAGCCATTGCGAAAGCTCATTTTAGAGATCCTATTGACTTACCTCTCAAAAAATCCACAGTTGGTAGTAATTTTTTTTTAAAATATAAAAAAGTTCAGAAGAAACGTTGGAAGCATTCACATGTCGTATCTAAGGATTCACACAAGACTATGTCATTGATTATGAAGAAAACATTTTAAATTTTTGCTAGAATATCAAATGTTTGTATACTTAATGCAGTTTACTAATATTTAACTATCCCTACTTGAATTAAATGTTAAAAATGCATGGTACTCCCAAACTAAATTAAGACATGAATCATAACAAATGAGCGGGAAGCAATCAGTCCGATCACATTTCTTTTTCATGTTCATCTTCTACCCGTTATGCGCTCGTGAGATGACCTCTTCACATGGGCGAGTACCGTTCAGGAGTTTAATTGGAAAGGTCCACGAGTACCGGATTTCGGTGAAGGGATCCTCGGGGCGCACGCCCTTTCCACAAACTGACGCCTCTCGCTCTCTCTCGCCTCCGCCGGTCGCGAGTACGCAGAGGCGTGCTTCTATGGACCTATAGACCTATTTGGACCAGTGGGAGCGAGTTATTCTTGTGACAAACATCAGGCTACTGTGCACATAAACTAGCGAGTCTGATTTGCTTCACGTTCAAACGCTACACATTGCAAATTTACACGGTGCTCCAATCGCACACCGGGGTTAGGGCTATAACGAAATGAATGAATTTTCATCTACCTGTACGAGGTATAATGAATGAATTTGTTTCTTCCATCGGCACGGAAGGAGGCCTCGTCAGGAGGAGCACGTCGACGGTACGACGGTGCCGTATTTAGACAAGCTGACGTTGCCGCAGAAGCCCTTGGCAGATGCTCCGCTCGCCGTGACGAGGTGGACGTCCTGCAGCGTTATCCCCCGGCAGGTGACGGTGCGGCTGCAGTCGAAGTCCACGGCCGCGGTGGCGCTCGTCCCCCTGACGTTCTGGAAGGTCACTCCGCTCACGGCGACGGCGGATTTCTGCGCGGCAGAGGGCGAACTGAAGATTAGCGAGAGGAAATGAGCGAGAAAGCGAGAGTGAGAGAGAGAGAGAGAGAGAGAGAGAGAGAGAGAGCGGGAAGCAGGAGAGACGAAAAGGGCGGTGCTGGCATGCTCCACCTGTTCGCCGCAGGACTTGGGGGAGTCGCAATAGTTCTGGTCGATGATTATTGGGTTCTTCACGTTGTCCATCACGATGTTCCTGAAGATGATGTTTCTGGCGTACCCTTTTCCACCCTGAAGGGAGAGAACCGATCGACGGCGTCGTCGCAGTGTCAGTCCACGGAGCGCGAGAGAATTCGGGTTGGGTAGTCAGTCAGATGGCGTTACCTGCCAGGTCTTGATCCGGACTCCGTTGGTCGTTCCCTCCAGACGCGCCGTGTCGACCAAGACGTCGGAAACGGTGTGTTCCGCACCGTTGGCTCCAAGGCTCCCGATACTGCCAGCAACGATGTGACGCGTCAACGGGGGAGAGGGGGGAAGATAGTGAGAGAGCACGGGGGTGAGAGGAAGAGGAGGTCAGCAGCAGATCCCAGCACATCGCAGGCAGATGTGTGTACTGAAGAGAAAAGTCAACTAACAAGCGAAGGAAACGGTACTCACCGATAGCCAGCCAATAGACGCACCAATGGCATTGCTTATAAATAGATGTACAATATGGTTCCAATTGATATGCAATGTTCTATTTTCTGTTTCGATCTTGCGTTTCTTCTCTCATCCGCCTCTCTGCTCTTCTTGCCTCTTCTTGATTCTCTGTATAGTATCAGAGCCATAGAGGCTCCATGGCAGATCTGGTCAACACTATGGCTTCGTCTACAAGCGCTATCATTTCGTCCACAACATCGGCACAAATATCCTTGCTTATTCCTATGGGATTCATCCCTCCGGTTAAGCTTATCGGTGACAATCATCTAGTATGGAAAAATACCATGGTTCCAATTTTGAATGGATTTGACTTAATGAGATATATTGAAGATGATCCTCCACCGGTCTCAACCTCTGATGTGACTGGAAATGTGATTCCGAATCTGGAATATAAGGTATAGTGGAGGAATGATCAGCAAATATTAGGGTTTCTTAATTCCGCCATGTCTGAATCGGTCCTTCTGAGTCTTGGAAGAAAGAATACATCCAAAGAAACATGGGAAGTAATTGAAACCATGTATGCTTCCAGAGGACGATCCTACGTAATGGATCTTTAGAGACAACTGAATAATTCCAACAAAGGAGATATGAGTACAGATGACTACATCAAGTATTTTAAAAGGATTTCTAAAGAACTATCAACTGCCGGCCATCCACTATCATCTGTCATTTGAGGATATCATTGCCAACTTACAATTTCATGATGCAATTCAAGCCTACTATCAGAATCAGCTCACAAGTTCCATAACCCCGGTGACGAACAATGCCCAAATATCATCACAGTCCCACAACAAGAAAAATTGGCAAAATCTTGAATGGCAAAACAAGGGATTCCAGCAAAATAAGGAAGAAATAGACAAGGATGAGGTAGATCCAGACAGTACACACCATGATGTTAGATTTTCTCCCAGTTTGGACACAGGGGTAGAGAATGCAAAGAAAGATTATTGCAAAACTTTTATGCTAATCAACTCTACACCTCTGTCCCCGATGAACCATTATAGTAGAGCAACCCTCAAGCTTACTACATGAACACTAGAAGTATCTTTGAACCATCAATGACATGATCATGGTATCCAGATAGGGGGGCTTCTCATCATGTTACATCGAATCAAAACACTATGAATCAATATACTTCATACCACAAAAATGATCAACTCACCATAAGTAATGGGACAAGTTTTTTTATAAACTCTATTGGCAATAGCACCTTAAATTCTAAAATATTTTCTTTAAAGATTAAAGACATCCTACATGTACCTGCTATCATAAGAAATTTACTTTTTGTACAGAAACTAGCTTCGGATAATAATATTTTCCTTGAATTTTATGTCACTTACTATCTTATGAAGGATGAGAAAACCCACAAAATCCTCCTCAATGGAACAACTGAAGATGGACTCTATCTACTTTGAAGAACTAAACACGATTCAACTGCTCTACTAGGAGAAAGGACTTCAACCAATATCTTGCACGACCGATTAAGACATTCACAATTAAAAGTTTTGAAGTAAATAATTGATAAACATGGGCTCCTACTACTCAGTTACCTAAACATTATTTGTGTAACTCTTGTTGTATTACTAAATCTCATAAACTTTTATTTTCTAAATCTAATCAAACTTCTACTAAACCACTTGAGTTAATTCACTCAGATTTATAGAGACTTGCTCCCATTATTTTTATTGATGATTATAGTAAGTATGTTTGGCTTTATCTTATTAAACTAAAAAGCAATGTGTGTAATGTCTTCTTAGAGTTTCATAAATGAGTGGAAAGATAATTTTCCACCAAGATCATCTCATTTCAATTTGATTGGGGGAGAGAGTTCTAATTTCTCCAAAAACATTTTAAAAATGAGGGCATAATCCATAGAGTATCATGCCCTCATACTCTCAAGCAAGATGCAACTGCCGAAAGAAAGTATAGGCATCTCATTAAGACATGCCTATCTCTTCTTCAGTCGGCAAGTATGCCACAAAGATATTAGGATGCGGCAGCATGCACATCTTTATACTTAATAAATAGAATGCTGACATCCATCTAAAGGAACAAATCTCCCTTTGAAGTGCTTTTTAAAATTCAACATGATTATAGCATTTTAAAAATGTTTGGGTGTCTTTGTTATCCTCATCTACGTGCATATGCTTCTAATAAACTTACCTCCATATCAGATTATTGCGTCTTCCTTGGATATAGCTCTATGCACAATGGATACCATTGTTTATCTTTAAACTCAGGTCAAATATTTAGATCTCGCTATGTCACTTTCAATGAAAATATGTTTCCTTTCTCAAACCCAAAATGACTCCAAATTCTTCAATTCTTGATGCCTCTATAGGGATTCTAGGACATTTCCCGAATTTCTCATCTCATATGGATATTACTATAAATCAGAACCCTCCTCAGCCCCAAAATTCTAGATCTCAATCTATTTTGACATCTATGAGAACAATCGATGATCTTCCTAACTTACCAACAAACATAGAAAAAAAAAAAAATATTCTCACAAGACACTCACATTCCATCACCCTCTAACTCAAATTCACCACCTTCTACCTCGGATAGAGAAGATATTCTTAATCAAAGTCATCCCTCAAGCCCACCCTCATCTCTAGAAAAACATCGATCACTGGTAGACATATATCGTAATTGTGGAATAGATCTAAAGAAACTTCAAATCAAACATAAACCTAAAGCACACTTATCCACCAAACATCTACTACTAATTTGTCTCACTACTACCATCATGAACACTCTAGAACCATCAACCTTCTCTACAACCATTAAGAATCCCCATTGGGTCCAAGCCATGGTCTCCCAACATAATGCTTTAATAAAAAATAACACTTGAAAATTAGTTGCCTGAATACCTAATCTTCATGTGATAGGATGTAAATGGGTTTATAAACTGAAATAAAAACCAGATGGTAACATAGATAGATACAAAGCCAGATTAGTAGCTAAGGGATTTCATCAACGAAAAAGGTATGACTTTTATGAAACTTTTAACCCTATCATTTAAATGACCATAGTAAGGATTCTCTTAGCTTTAGCTATCACCTACAATTAGTTTATTTATCAATTAGATGTTTTAAACACTTTTCTACATGGAGATTTATCAGAAACAGTTTATATGGAGCAGCCTCAAGGTTTTATTGATTCAAATTTCCCAAACCACATCTGCAAATTAAATAAATCTATTTATGGTATAAAACAATCTCCTAGAGCATGGTTCTGCAAACTTGCCATTTGTCTTCATACCTTAGGTTTTCCAGGATCAACAACCAATACTACTCTTTTGTACGAACCTCATTCACGTTTTCCAATCTTTTTCCTAATTTATGTTGATGATATTCTTCTAATTAGTCCTAATCAAACTAGCATTCATTCTCTTCATCAAATATTCTATATTCGAGACCTAAGACCGGCTCACTATTTCTTAGGTATAGAATTAACTTGAATTCTCAGCGGTTTGTCTCCATCTCAAACCAAATATATAGCTTCCCTCTTGCACAAGGCCAAAATGGAAGATTGCAAACCTCTAAGTACTCTCTGTTTTACATCTCCCTCTCAAATGCAATCATCTGTTCCAGTCGACTGTATTATGTATCGGAGCCTGGTGGCAGCCGTCCAATATGTTACGATTACACGGCCTGACATAGTTTTTGCCGTAAATAAAGTATGTCAAAAAATACATGCTCCTACAGTTAATGACTAGGTCTCTCTGCTCTTCTTGCCTTTTCTTGATTCTGTACATGTACCTGATTCCGTGGCCCGGTCCGCAGACGATGTTGGTGGCCGTAATGGAGCGTGAGCCGCTGACGATGGAGATGCAGTCGTCGCCTACAGGGAGGAATTTAAGACGAAGTCATGGCCCGCATTCTACCCGCCTTTCGGATGGGGGAGGCCACGGACGAGGAGGCGGAGGGTGGACCTGTCCTGATGACGGAGTCGCTGATCTTCACATCGGTGCTGCCGGAGACGTGGATTCCGTCCGTGTTGGGACTGTTCCCGGGGGCGGAGATGGTCAGTCGGGAGATCCGGACGTTGGCGCACTTCGAGAAGGTGACGTGCATCTGCTAGCTGGCTGTTCTTGAACTTGAGATCGGTTACGGTCAAACCGCGGCAGGATTGGAACGTCAGCGCCTGCAAGGAGTCAACCTGAAACTAAAGGATCAGCTGAACAGTGACCGTGGCCCGCGCCGCCAGCAGAGTGTCCGGAAGGAGACCGACACCGTGCTCTCTCTTGCGGTGGCTACCAGGTGCACGTTTGCCCGTTTTTGTCCATACAGCCCGTAGGAGAAATGACGAGAAGGAACACGTGTGGAATCGGGCGTTAGAGTTATGCGTTGTCTCACCCTGGCTGCTCGACGCCTCTGAACCCAGGTGTTTCAACCATACAAGGACGCGTCTCTGATTCTTTTTTTCCACGTGGTGTGAAATAAACTGTCTGATAGACGTGGACAAATGGGACTCCCCTGTCTTTGCATTATGAACCGTGGCTCGGAACGCCAGATGTCCTTGTACGGTGTTGCATGTGCGTTATTGTTAACCGAAGGATCCTCTTCATCTTCTTTTCCTCGGTCTAAGAGAGACGTTGGGGATGTTGCGCAGCGGACGACGGTGGCAACAGTCGCGCATTCAACACCGGGTGAACGCTGGCGGGCGATTTTCCATTCCGACCCGAGAAGCTGTCTCTGCCGTGTTCACAAGACTCTTCCTCTTCTGGCACCGTAATCCTTTGTGTGCGGGTAAAAGCTTCTTCTTTTAAGGTACGATCGTACTAAGCGGAAAACAATCGAGCCACGAGCCGTTTTTGAACGACGCCACGCATCTATTGGCGAGTAAACCGTGACGTCGGAAAGGGTTTAGTGCTCTAGTCCAAAACGAGCCCAGTACCGGATGGATGTACGGGGACCGGATCGTAGACGAAGCGATCCTCGGAGAGGAGCACTCGCATTCCGCACACTAACGCCTCTCTCTCTCTCTCTATTTCGCCTGTCTCCACCGGTCGCTAGTACGCAGAGGCATGCTTCTATTGACTTGTTCGGAACAGTAGCTGCGGGTTGCTCTTGTGACAAGCATGAGGCTTCTGTGCAATTAAACTAGGGAGTCTGATTTACACGACGTTGAGAAGCTACAGCGGTTACAAATTTACACGATGTTACAATCGGACACCGAGGTCCGGGCTATAACGAAATGAATGAATTGTCATCTACGTGTTCGAGGTATAGTGAATGAATTGTCGTCTTCGTGTACGAGGTATAGTGAATGAATTGTCGTCTTCGTGTACGAGGTATAATGAATGAATTTGTTTCTTCCATCCTCCGGGACGGAAGCAGGCGTCTTCAGGAGGAGCACGTCGACGGTACGACGGTGCCGTATTTAGACAGGTTGACGTTGCGGCAGAAGGTCTTGGCAGGTGCTCCGCTCGCGGTGACGAGGTGGACGTCCTGCAGCGTTATCCCCCGGCAGGGGACGGTGCGGCTGCAGTCGAAGTCCATGGCCACCGCGGTGGCGCTCGTCCCCCTGACGTTCTGGAAGGTCACTCCGCTCACGGCGACGGCGGATTTCTGCGCGGCAGAGGGCGAACTGAAGATTAACGAGAGGAACTGAGCGAGAAAGCGAGAGTGAGAGAGAGAGAGAGAGAGAGAGAGAGAGAGAGAGAGAGAGAGCGGGAAGCAGGAGAGACGAAAAGGGCGGTGCTGGCATGCTCCACCTGTTCGCCGCAGGACTTGGGGGAGTCGCAATAGTTCTGGTCGATGATTATTGGGTTCTTCACGTTGTCCATCACGATGTTCCTGAAGATGATGTTTCTGGCGTACCCTTTTCCACCCTGAAGGGAGAGAACCGATCGACGGCGTCGTCGCAGTGTCAGTCCACGGAGCGCGAGAGAATTCGGGTTGGGTAGTCAGTCAGATGGCGTTACCTGCCAGGTCTTGATCCGGACTCCGTTGGTCGTTCCCTCCAGACGCGCCGTGTCGACCAAGACGTCGGAAACGGTGTGTTCCGCACCGTTGGCTCCAAGGCTCCCGATACTGCCAGCGCCGATGAGACGAGTCAAGGCGGGAGAGGGGAGAAGATAGTGAGAGAGCACGGGGGTGAGAGGAAGAGGAGGCCAGCAGCAGATCCCAGCACATCGCCGGGAGATGTGTGTACCTGATTCCGTGGCCCGGTCCGCAGACGATGTTGGTGGCCGTAATGGAGCGAGAGCCGCTGACGATGGAGATGCAGTCGTCACCTACAGGGAGGATTTGAAAGCGAAGTCACGGCTCGCATTCTTCCGGCTTCTCGGATGGGGGAGGCCGAGGAAGAGGAGGCGGAGGGTGGACCTGTCCTGATGACGGAGTCGCTGATCTTAACATCGGTGCTGCCGGAGACGTGGATTCCGTCCGTGTTGGGACTGTTCCCGGGGGCGGAGATGGTCAGTCGGGAGATCCGGACGTTGGCGCACTTCGAGAAGGTGACGTGCATCTGCTGGCTGTTCTTGAACTTGAGATCGGTTACGGTCAAGCCGCGGCAGGATTGGAACGTCAGCGCCTGCAAGGAGTCAACCAGAGAAGTCAGCTCGCGGAAACATCGGAATCCACGAACTGAACGAGTTGAGTCTGGTCCAGAAAGTACCGTGGGTGCACCCTTGCACGGCTTTTTAACGTCGCACCGAGGAAAGATCAGAAGGCGAGTCAGTCAGCGGGTCGAGAGGAGCAAAGCCGAGGACGGAAGGAGTTTCCGCTGGGAGTGCCATGGAGTGCGCAAGCGGAGAAAGTAAGAGGGGTTGCTACCTGTGCGGAGTCGACCTTGCAGGAGACCTTCCACCACACCGGCCCGTTGCCGTCGATGGTTCCGCCGCCCTCCACTCTGAGGCCGTCGACCTTGTCGAACAGCATCCAGAGCCTGCGGTCCGCTCCGTCCCAGTCGGACATCCTTCCGGAGGCGAGAATCGTTCCCTTGATCTGTGGGCGACAGTTGAAAGACAGAGGGAGTCTAAGGAGGCGCGACGCAATAAGATTTTGGTGCGAGGGGAGCTGGGGAGTGGGTTGTCGTGTCTCACCGCTACGGTGATTGGAGACTTGCAGGGACCGGAGAAGGCGATGGGCTTGAGCCGGTATGCCTTCCCCTCGGGGACCAGCACAGTGACGGGAGCTGAGGAAGAGCAAGCCGCCTTCCAGGCAGCGGCGAACGCCTGCAGACGAGATAATCGACGGGCGGGTCCGCGGGGGTTTAGAAGGAGATTCTCATCTGAGACGAAAGAGATTGCTGACCGGTCTACTACCTTGGTGTCGTCCGACGATCCGTCGCCTCGCGCTCCAAAGTCCTTCACGTTCCTCACCGTGCTTGCGCTTCCCAGAGTAGACCGCCTCCGTTCGTTGGCCGTCCCCGGAGACAGTTTTCTCACCGCGGAGGAGTCGGTGATGTCCAGACCGGTGCGGAATGAGGGGTCGCCGGAGAACGTCTGTTCCTGCTGAGAGTCGCCCGGACGAAGGAGAAGCACGAGGGCGAGGAGGAGGAGAAGCTTTTGCGCGCCCATCTGCGCCGCCTATGCTCAAGAGAGGTGTGCGTGTGTGGAGGTGATCTAGTTCGAGAGAGGGATAAGGAGACGTCGAGAGAGAGAGAGGTTGGCCTTCAGAAGGAGGGCTGAATATTGGATTTTGTTGTGGTAGATGGCAGATAGCTCCGCGCGGGTTATATAGAGCGACGAAGAGAGAGACGCAGCTTGGGCGTCCGAGGAAAGAAACTTCCATGTCAACTGTCCGTGGGATATGGACGGAGAGATGGTAGTGGGACAGACGGAAGGGTCGCCTCGCCGCCGGCGCCGGCGCCCCGTCCCTCTTCCTCTCTTTTTGCCCCCGTGCATGCGTCTTCGCGTCCCGAATTCGGCGCCTTCGTTCGTGTGAAGCGCCGTGCGACGAACCCACCTGAAGATTATCCGGGCCGTTAATACCGGGTGCTACAACCGTCCGTCTGGTCAGCATATCTAACTGAACGGGACTCTTCCCCGTTGTGCTCGGTCAACTTTCTTTCTCTCGGATATCCGTTAGCTCATCTCTCTGTCTCCCGGCTTCCGTCAAACGTGAAAGATTTAGAACGTTTTTAATGCCCGTCGCTCCGCCGGCACGTGGCGACCCCCGCGGTAGGGAGGAGAACGCCGCGGGTGGATCTACGCACTCCCGACCTGGTTGGAGTATGCAGGCTCCAGTGGCGGCGTAGTGTCAATTAGCGGCCGTAGCAGCTGCGGAATTTGGGGACGCGCGGGAGGGACGACCATCCGAAGATTGCTTATTTTGCCGTGTGTGCGGACGCATCTCCACCGTCGCGGCGGAATTATCTCCGTCGGCGATGGCCAGTTCTCCGGGCTTGGGCTGACGATCAACGCGCCCGGCTAGATAGGCTTACAACTGGCCCTGGTTGTCGGCTGGAGCAGATGCTTTCGAGAAGACTAAATATTATGGGGCGTGGGCTGCTGGACGTGCAAGATACAAATCGCTGAGTCTCCAGAGTCTAGAGGCGGTTTTGATGGCGCAGGAAGCTCCGCCATCCAGTTGACTACACGAGAGAGAGCAAAGAAAAAAAATAGTACTAGTTTTAGATTTGACGCGTTGTCACAACCTACCTTTGAAGGTCAATTCAGCCCATGCATAGCCTCATATGTTCGTTTATGGCTGATAGAAAATCCTTCAGCCTCACCATCTTCTTGTTGCCCTGAATTTTTGTCACATACTCTGCTTATGTTGTGGACAGAGAAAAAATATTCTGTATTTGTGAGATGAAGGCCACTGCAGTCCCGCTCAAGTATAAATTTAGTCGGCGGCACTTCTCCCTGTGTCTGTCTACATCGCCACCCAAATGTGCACCTACAAAACCTTGTAAACCCGAATTCAGCCTTGTCCTTGTAAGCCTCTTATTCTTGTTCTTGGTCACAACCTTGTGTTTGTCCAAGACTCCTTCAATGAATATCACATTCTGGACTCTCATAATTTTTCAGTTTTGATCACTCCCGAACTGATAAAAAAACTTGTGGGATCCATATCTTATGAGAGAACACCTCATGGTGTTGGATGCAGTTTGTCTGTTTTTTTAAAAATTACATGAACATTAGAGAGGCATTCAAATGACCTTAAGTAAGAAAGATTCACCTTCTTCCTTCCCAGTTCAGCACCCCTCTAATAGTTAAGAGTCTAGGGGCAGAAACATTCCTTAATTACCAAATTGCTTGTGTTAATAGCATCTAACCAAAATAATTTTTAGAGCCGTGCTTGCAATCTCTTGTGCTTCGCTAGCTTATTCAAGGCACAATTCATGCTTTCACCAATGCCATCTGCTGATGAGTGTTCTCTACTTTCTTCTCTGTCCAATCCAATACTCTAAACAAAATTTCTTAAATTATTTGGTATTATGCTTACCGCCATTTTCTCACTACAAATATTTAACGTGGAGGCCAAACTTGAGTTCCACATGATTTTTGTATATATTGAAAATCATATCAAAAATTATACTTATTAAAAAAAAAAATGAACTCATGCTAGGAGCAAACATCTAATAGCCGATGGCTGAAGAACAGCTGTGGGGAAGACATCTGTCAGTTAGTCCTATGTAAGAGATATGTGGCGTAGAGATCTTTCCGGCTTATATAGCGAACTCAATCCTTACCTAATCTAGAAGAAGTAGATTGAAATTGATCCCAGTAGATAGATGCTCTGCCCTCTAATTTATATATATATATATATATATATATATATTAATAACAAACTTTTAATCAATATGTTTTGTGTGAGAGAAGAGGCTAACCTCAAGACCTTTATCTTCATTAATCTGTAATCCTTTACCTCATGACATCGTCAAAGATGAATAAGGAGCAGAAAACCTTATTCTGATACAATTTATACATCTTTAGTTGTGTGGTGATGAAATCTCAATATTGAATTCATGAAAGATAAAGTCTGTGTAAATATTTCTTATCCTAATTTCACAAAACTTAGAAGCTTAAACCCTTGAATCCACGAAAGAGTGATCTTCAGTGTACTAGGATCAAGAAGGTTCCCCTAAACCTACAAGGGAGGCGCCTGAACCAAAAAGCAATGAAATGGAATCTCAGAGAAGGAATTTTTTTTGTAACATTAAATAATGGTTATAGGGGTACGAGATGGGGTCTTTAAATAGATAAAAATGTGGTTTTGTTAGGATGGGACTTGAAAATATATTTAAGATACATATAAATAAATTTAAGGTGAATAAATTACAAATATTTCCACTATTCTCCACATTAAACCTCATTTTAAGCCTCATATTGAACAGGGAAGGAATTTCAATGATCAATGGTGACGGGGATGTAGGTCCTCATCGTTGAACAGTGGAAGAAATGTTCACACTCAAGATAGAGGGAAGAGAGGCAAGAGACAACCGAGGGGAACTCAGGACACTAATAAGAGGCCGCGGGTTCCGACGGAACGCGTGTCGTGTAAAACACCCGACATGGTCAACGCCTCTGGACCCGGGTGTTTTAACCGTCCTTGCCTCAGTTGAGCCCTCTGATTCTTGTTTTCCACGTGGTGTCAAATAAACTGCCTGATACGCGTGGAGGAACGGGACTCTTCTGTCCTTGCTTTGCGAACCGTCTCCCGGAATGCCGATTTATCTCTTAGTGTGGTGCTGGACGTGAGTTATTGTCAGCATACAGATCCTCTTCTTCTTCTCCTCCTCGCTCTTCGAGAGGCGTTGGGGATGTTGCGGAATGGACGAGGGCTGGAACACTCGTGCTTTCAACACCGCGGCAAACGCCTCGGGCGGTTTTTCATTCCGACCAGAGAAGCTGTCTGCCGTGTGCGCGCGCGGGACTCTTCTGTTTCTCCCGCCGCAATTCTTTGCGTGCGGTTGAACACTTCTTCTCTTGAGTTATGATTGTTCTAAGTGGCCGAGGATATGGCCGGCCCAGATAGAGCCAACTTATCAAAGCTATTCGGACTGTGAGCAGACTCCGGTTTTATATTACGCGTAGTTTCCTTCCTGGTGACCTTCTGATGCACGAATAAGACCTGCGTTTAAGCTAGATTTTATTCGGACTTTGGAGCAGTAGTAAAATCTACCGAATAAGAGTCCCAACCGCGGCATATCTCAGAGGACGTTTTTCCGATCATTGTGAGATGGGGTCCGAACCTTCTATTGGAAACGGCATTCGAATGCGAAAACGTAACTCTCGGCTGTGATGTAATGAAAAAGGCAACTTTTCGTATATTGTGGGTACGGGACGAGCATGTTCTCCGGTGCTCGTTGCTCAGTCCGATCGCCAAAGTCATGTTCCTCCCACCTACTCGTAAGCAACAGGAATACGGCTCGTGCTTCACCTGGCATCGACCTATGAGAAGGGGCCAGCTACGATATACATCCATCTTCTGCGCCTAATGAAGCGCTCGATATTCCGGGTAGTATCTGGTACGACGCGTGATTCGTGTTGACACTCTCTGTCCTGTGATATAGGGAAAACGTCACGCTGTTTACGGAATATGCTCCGTGCAAACGCCCTACCACATCCAATGGAGCTGAGAGAGCAACGTGGACATACGAGCCGTTTATAAACGACGCCACACTTATATTGGGAAGGAAACCACGACGTGCGATAAAATTTAGTGCTCCAGTCGACAACAGTTCTGCGGTGGTAGGCGGAGCTAGGGCGTCCGAGGAAGGCAGCTTCCACGTCAACTCTTCCGGTTTTCTGGCATGTCCCTGGTAGCGGACAGACGGAAGTGTCGCCTCGCCGTTGCCGCCGCGGCCCGTCTCCCTTCTTCTCTCCTCGGCCCCGTGCATCATGCATGCGTCTCCGCGTCCAGAATTCGGCGCCTTTGTTCGTGTGATCGCCGTACGACGAACCCACCTGAAGAATGTCAATGCCCTTAATACCCGGTCCTCGAACCGTCGTTTCCTTTGAGGTGCTGCGTGACTCCCCCTCCGATTGCTCCGTCGACTTTCTTTCTCTCGTTTATCCGTCAACTCGTCACTCTATCTCCCGGCTTCCGTCAAGCGTAAAAGATTGAAAACGCTTTTTATACCCTTCGCTCAGCGGGCACGTGGCGACCTCTGGGGCGGGAACCGCCGCCGGCCGAGCGAAGGGTACTGGCGCATCAGCTGCCGCAGCAGTACTCGGAGACGCAGGGGAAGGACGAGCGGCCCCAGCTTCCCTATTTTCCCGAATGTGCGGAGGCTCTCCCGTGTCGCGGCGGAATTAACTTTTCTTTTGTCGACCTGATCCGCAGGGAACGACGGCGGACTGGGCTTGCAATTGGCCCTAGTTTTCGACTGGAGCAGATGTTTACGAGAAGACTAAATATTTTGTGGCGTGGGCTTCTGGACCTGCTAGATACAAATCGCTAAGTTTTCAGAGTCTCCCTGAGGTCCAGGCTGTCCAAGTCTAACTCTGACTAGGTTATCTGGCACACAACAAGGGTTCCGCTTCTTCTGGCACAGCGGATGTGTGTCTGACTAATGCATACACACACGAGACAGATAGAAGGGCACTAGACAATCCCCTTTCGTCCA